GGCATGTGGTGCTGGGGATCGAACCGCGGTCCCTGTGCTTTGCCAAGCTTGTTTCAAATAGGTGCTTTAGACCACTGAGCCATCTCTCCAGCCCCTCTGTGTTTCTTGTACTCTGTTTTTTTTGGTGTTGATAGTGTTGGGTCAGGAGTCAGGTGAAAGAAGGTGCAGTGGGAATGCCAGGAAAGTGACTTAATGTGACTCTCTAAAAGTGGGGCGTGCCAAATACAGAGATGTGGCAGGCCTAAAGACAGAGAGTCATGTAGAAGAACCATGGGAAATGTCTACCATTTCCTCTGGGTTCAGAAACATGAACTTAAGGTCATTCAGAGATGGCGAGTGGATTCTTGATATCATATACAGCTGCAGGTAGGTACCTGAAGAGATAAATATATAAGAGATCATGCAAAATTATCTGAAAACATATTACATGTATGTCACTACAGAGTACACCCAACCTCTGTTCTCTGAGCTGCTTAGGTGGCACTCTAATAAGACGGTGTTGTGTCACAGATTGACAACAAAAATGCTCAGTTTTGAGTAGCATGTTTGGGCATCAGTGATCTGAATCCTGGTCAGTGATTGCAGAGTTGAACTTCCTGACTTCCTTTTTCTTGACTGTCTGTGTCACTATGCAGGGGTCCTTTAGTGGTGAATTTCATAATGGGTATCCCAAAAAATTCTGCATACAATACTTTTGATCAACACAAGGTGCATCCCCAGCTTCTGCTGCTAAATCCCTTACCCAACTGACACTGAGTCCTCCACTCTCTGTCTAATTTAAGTCAAATATCATTGTGGCAACCTCATTTCTCTCTGCCTCCCAGACCAAGTTCTACTTGGAAAATGCTTTCCCTTGTCTCCTCATTGGGAAAGTAAATTTCCTGACAGCCCTGCCTGCCTCATCTCAGCTCTATCCTCGCAGTTGACTTTCATTGTCTTGCACTGCCTTGTTCTGCACAGTCTCCTCACAGCAGTTTTGCTTCTCTGTCTCCTGCACAGCCTTAGGATTCTCTGGGGCATGGTGAATAAGAGCTCAGCCTCAGCAGTGCCTGCAGATGTGTGCCCTGGCCCTGCCACTCCCTCTCCTCCTTCCTGCTACACCAGTGCGATGTCCTCCCTCTGGATGTGGCTGCTTCCCCCAGACCTTTTGCTACCAGTTATGAGGAGATCAAAAAATCTTCAGGATCTAAATTCCTTGTGTGATGTCCTTTGGAATGCTCCTTTCCATTTATCCCATTAAGCCCAGCCACATCTCTGAGTTCAGTCTTCTCCTCGCTGGTCCCCACAGCATGTGATCATGGTTGTTCTGAGCTCAGTCTTAATGCTGTGCCTGTCTCGACTCCGAGCCACCCAAAAAGCAGATCATGGGCCTCTCCCAACCCATAATAAGAAGGGCTTCATCTTCCTGTGCCCAAAGGGAAGGCCGCTGGCAGGCTTCCTTTGCTGGTTTATGCCTCATCTGAGACTGTGCATGCTGTGATTTGCACAGTGATACCCTTCCCCTGTCATCCCCATGCCGTCTTTCCATGGCAGGAAGATTTCTATTCTGTGCCAGGCAGGGCGCTACATTCTTGAAATCTGTGTGCCATTTTGCTGTGGTTGATTCTGGAGTGTTCTGTGTTTGTAACTCTACAAGGTAGAAGACAGTGTTTTATTCTATGCTGTCTACAATCAGGACCAGAAACCCACAGACCTTAAAAGCCAGGATTCTATTGTGGGAACACAGCTTGTTGAAAATTCACCCACTTTAACTTTGGTTAAAGCTGGTGTGTCTTCTTGGATTGAAGCTAACTGGCAGCCTGGAGATCGTGTGTGACCTGGGCAATGGATTGCTGTATCTTCGCCAGTTGACCATGGCTCTTTGATTCCTGTCTTGGAGGAGTGAGTTCAGTGCAGTGACGCCAGGGCAACCAGACAAACCCAAGGTATCACTGCGTGCACTTTCCTGGTCACTGCCCAAGGTGCATTATCCACCATCTGGATGTGCCTGCTGTTCACTAATTCTCACCAGGACAGTGAGGTCAATCCAGGACAGTTACCTGCAGGGCTCGTAGGTTTATAGGTATCCAGAGCATCAGACTTTCCTTCCACTGGGCACCACCTCATGTAATCTAGAATGCTTGAGATATAAAAGGGCATTAATTTCTCAGGTAGGGTCTAAATGAGATTCCTGGTGACATCTCCATTTGACCGTGAAGATGAATGGTCTGTATGTGGTCTTTGTATTATGGGTTCTTGGTTCTATTAAAATTTCTTCTCTTCAGCCCCAGATTACACAACAGAGAATATCATCCGGCTGAGCCTGGGTATCCTCATCCTTCTTGTCCTTGGAGCTGTGCTGCTGGATGCCTGGAAGGGCAGAAATGGTCTCTGAGGTGGGACCAGACAGCTAAAGACTGAGAGCATCATTAACCCTTCATGGTCCACATCATATTCTGGAATGAATGAGCCATCTATGAAGAACAGAAAGTGACAAATCAGCACAGGCATCCGAGTAGATGGAGCTCAAGCTTTTTGCTCACACTTTGTGGAGGAAACTGGACTCAAACTGTCACGCCCTGTAGGATTTGATTCAAATGAATTATGAGGATAGGAAAAGAAATCAGTGTTGCCCAGTAGCTGGGATAAAGATGGGAAGTAGGAGTGGAAATATCTGAGGAAGGGCCTGAGGGAACTTTCTTAAGAGGTAGGAATTTTCTAGAATTTTACCAGACCAATTTCTCTATGTCTCAGTCTTGATCAAAGCATGTTAAATTGTGTTCTTGGAACATTGACTGTGTTTCCCTCCATGGAAATGCTGCCCCAGCTTAGCAGGCACATGTGGAGTTCATGAACACGAGCCTGCACTGAGGTTAGTCATGAAACACTCACAGCAAATGCAAAGTCGTGGTGGAGAGAGCAGTCTGTCCAAGCAGGGTGTGTTGCACCTAGAAAGCAGGTCAAGGTGATAATCAGACTCCGACAGTCCTGGAACTTAATTTAATAAACATCGCTAAAGAGCTCACATGTCATACAAGAAGTACAGTGGAAATTGCAAAATGCTTTGAAGTAAATGTTAATGAGAACACAGTGCATATTTATAATATATACCCTCTATATATTATATATATCTCTATAGTGCTTGGGGAGAATCATAGGGTATTAGCACATACATTAGCAAGGAAGAACAGAATTAATTAATGGTTCAATCAAGAAGAGTAACTTGAACATAATCACAAAGTGGTATTTTATACAGTAGCTATGGCTATATTCTGTTAATGCATTATGAAGTATGTGTATAAAGTACTTTTTATTAATGGTTCAATAAAATGACTGCTTCATTTCTCAGCAAAAGAAGGAAGAAAACTTTAAAGAGAAAATTTGACAGAGGTCAGTTGTGTGGAGATGGTGAGCCCTCCACTCCACCAGAGCTTGGCTGAGCTTTGGCCACTTTGTATAAGGCAGACAGTGCCCCAACAGCTGTGGAGAGCTGGTGAGTCCTACCCTGCACCCACTCACCCTCACCAGAGTTTGGCTGAGCTGTGGCTACTTCACCTGCCACCCAACCAGGTCACACACTCAGAGGACAGCTTTGATGACCTGGTGAACTCTGCCTCCACCCCTCCCTGCACCAGTGTCAGAGCTTGATTGAGCTGTGACCACCTCTCCTACCATTGCAGTCACTGGAAGTCTGCTGAGGTACTGCGACCTGTCCCACCAGTCATGGGAACCTTGGTGAGCCCTATCCTGCACAGTCCCCCATCAAAACAGCCTTGCCGAGCCTCTGTATGCCCTCATCATCATTGGATTGTTCTTGAGCTGCAGTTTTAGCCCCTTTACTGAGGTGGAAGCCACATTAAAGCCCACAGAGTGGGAGCTTTTGTGAGTCTATGCCACACTCCCACTCTCATGGGCGGATTTGATAACCTACACCCCGAACAACTACCATCCCGGCAGTCAGAATGATCATTGAGAGCTTCCAAAATATCAAAAGGAAGGAGCAGAAGGCAATTTCAGACCTCCAGCCCACAAAGCAAGTCCAGAAAATAAAATCACGCAATTTGGAAATTACACCCTTGAAATTTCTGAAAGGAAAGCAACTGAAGTAAGGCAATAATTCCATCGGGCTCTGGAGGAAATCAGAAATAATTCTTAGGTAAGAAAAGGAAAAAAGAAATGAAAACAATCATGAAAGAAGCATTCAATACACGTAAAGAAGATATAGATAAAAACCAGAGAGGAATTGGAAAATGATGGAGACACTGAATGAACAATATAGAAAAGAACTAGAATGCATGAAATGGATTCAGACTGATATTTGGGTCATTAACGATTTCATTGAGAACTGGAAAAACTGCTGAATCTAACTGAAGGTAGAATTTCTGGTGCTGAAGACAGCATTGTTGCTAGTGAACAGCAGAGGAAAGATCTCTTAAAAATAACAAGGAGCCATTAAATAACAATGCAACAGCTGCAAGATGATGGAATGAAAAATAATATAAGACGCATAAATATCAATGGACCAGCTGAAGTTAGCACACATGCCATAACATGACTTCAAAAGTAATAGCAGAACACTTCCCAAACATGGAAAAAACCTGACGTACAGCTAGGGAGGCATATATAACTCAGATTAGCCATAACCAAAGTAAATCAACACTCAGGGACATCATAATTAGGATCCTAGAAATTCAGCGAATGACCGGAATATTAAATGCTGTAGAGAGAAGAAACAGATCACCTATAATAGAAAGCCCATCAGAATCGTGGCAGATTTCTCAGCACAGATCATTAAATCAAGAAGAGCTTGGAGTGAGATATTATAAGTCCTGAAAGAAAACAGCTTCCAACGCAGATTGATGTACCCTGAAAAACTATCTCACATTTAGTGGAGAGACAAGATACTTCCGTAACAAAGAACAACTGAAGAAGTTCAGGACCACCAAAGCAACCCTACAAAGAGTACTGACTGATATTTTAGAAAGAGACAGAAATGACCACAACTTCAAGAGCAACAACAGAAAAGAACCACCAAGCAGAGCAAGCAATGAAACAGAGGGGAAAGTAGGGAACCTGCAGTAGGAAAATGACAGGACAAAGATGAATCAACACATTTCAGCCTTAATCATCAATGTAAATGGCCCCAATTCACCAATGGAAAGAAGCACACTGGCAGAGTGGAGCGAGAAACAAAATCCAACAATGTGCTGTATACGAGAACCATATTCAACTCAAAAAGAAAGTAATCAGGCGAAAGTCAAAGGAAGGAAAATAAGATTCCATGAGACAGAAAGCCAGAAAAAGCCTTGGCAGCTACTCTGGTTGCTGACAGTGTCGACTTCCAATGAAGGTTGATTAAAAGAGATAAAGAAGGTCATACATACTTGTCAGGGGAGAGCCGTAAAGAGGGAGAGATAACATATGTTCATTATAAATACATATGAACCCAATGTAGTTGGACCCAACTATATAAGACAATTTTTTATTATATTTATTGATTTATTTCATTCTTGCATTTGGTACAGGGTCTCATTATACAGCTTGGAGTTAAACCGCAGTCCCTGAGCTTGCAAAAGCAGGCACTTAGTCCACTGGGCTAGCTTTCTGATTCTAACACAAATTTTAACAGATATGTTAAATCAAATGAACAATAACTCAATTGTACTGGGGGACTTTATCACCCCAATTGTTAGAGATAGACTATGCAAAAAAAATATTTAAATTGTAGAAAGAATCAAAATTTGTGAAGAAATGGACTTAGACCTTTATAGAATGTTCCATCCAATTACATCAGAACACATTTCTTTTGCGACTGCACATGGGTCATTGTCCAAAGTAGATCATGTGCTAGCACATAGAACATGCTTAAGTGAAAAACAAAACCAAACAAAACCAAACAAAATAAAACAAAGGCCAGGGAGATAACCTCAGTAGAATAAGCCCTTGGTTGGCAAGCACAAGGCCCTGAGTTCAATCTCTGGTACAAAGAAACAAAGAAAGAACAACAACAACAAAACCAACACACACACACACACACAATGCTTAAGTAAATTCAAAGGATTTGAAATTATCCCATTCATTTTATCTAGCCACAGTGCAATGAAACTGAAAATTATTGACAAAAGAAACAGCAAAAAATCCACAAATATATGGAAACTAAATAACATCCTCCTGAATAATCAGTGGGCGCAGGTTAAATTAAATAAAAAATTAAACTCTATTTATAATCAAATAAAATGCAGGTACAACTTACTAGAACCTGTGAGATCCAGTGCAGGCTGTCTTCTTTTATATGTATTTGGTACAGGGTCTCACTATGCAGTTCAGACTTATAGTGATCTTGTTTTCAGCCTCTCCGGTGCTGGGACTACAGGCATGTGCCCCCAGACCTGATATTGGTGGGTGAATCAGCACACTCTGGGTTTGGGCCTGCTCAGCATGTGGTGCTGGGGATTGAACCCAGGACCGTGCACTTGGCTAAGCTGAGCTATCTTTCTGGCCCAAAAGCTTTCTTAGGAGGGAAATTTATGTAGGGTTTTTTTTTTTGTTGTTGTTTCAGGGATTGAACTTGGGAGCTTGTGATTGCAAGGCAGGCACTTATGCCACTGAGCCATCATGCTGGCCTTGAAAGGGAAATTCAAAGTAGTAAATTCTCACATCAGGAAAATGGAAGGGGTCTAAATAAATAATCTTATTTTGTACCTCAAATTCCTATGAGAAGAAGAGAAAGTCAACCCAAAGCCCAAAGCAGGCATGAAAGTATAAAGATCAGAGCACAAATAAATGCGTTGGAGATGAAGAAAGAATATAAAGGATTAATGAGTCAAAGAGTCAGTTCTTAAAAGAATAAATAAAATTGATAAACCCCTTTCCAATCTTATCAGGAAAAAAGAAAAAAAATCAAATTCATGCAATATGGAATGAAATGAGCAAAATCAGTAAAGACTTTATAGAAATTAGGAAGATCATTAGTAGTCATTTCCAAAATCTTTACCCTCACAGGATAGAAAACACAGAAGAAATGGAGAGGTTCCTAGATAACATATGAATTACCAAAGCTGAACCAAGGAGTTATAAAAATTCTGAATAGCCCAATATCATTCAAAGAAATTGAAAATGTAGTACAAAAACTTATCAACAAAGAAAAGCCCAGGTCCTGATGGAGTCACTGCAGAATTAGACAAGAAATTTAGAGAATAATTAATGCCAACTCTTCTCAAACGCTTCAATGAATTCAAAAGGGAAGCATTTCTCCCAATCTCATTCCTGGAGGCAAGTATTACTCTAGTATGAAAACCAGGGAAAGACCCAACCACAAAAGAGAAGCACAGGCCAATATCGCTAATGAACACAAGACGCAAAGCTCTTCAATAAAGTACTGGCAAGCTAATATCCAATATAACAACCATTGTCAAAATCCTATTACCCTGTTTAATGAAATGTGTATCATTTGTAATGTTTTCCATTCCATTTTGTGTTCTTTAAATAAATAAATAGATAAACAAATAAAATAATAGAAAAGAAGAGATTAATCATTTATTTATATTTTAATAATTTTATTTTATACTTTTATTTTTTTCCATAATTTTACTGAGAAAAAAATAGCAATGAGACAGTTTCAATTTAAACTGGTTGGATAGTTCCAATAATTAACACATTGCATACGGCCTTCCTAGTGGTTATTTGTTGTACAAGATGCAGACATGATATTCTATTTACAAACACTATTAGAACAAATCTCTGTATTCCTTGAATTAAGAGAATGTAGGTATATATCTATCCTAACCATTTTGAATGCAAAGATACAAAATGGACATTCATCTATATACCCTTTTTTTGTTTAGTTCCATCATTTAAATATTATAGGTGTGTGAACTCAGTAAAATATTCCAAAATAGTCCAGTAGTCCATAATAGTATTGGGTCTTCCACTTGACTGGCAATGTCAGAAGTTGTTGACCTGAGTCCCCTACAGCTCAACATAATAGCATGGGTT